GAGGTGTGACAATTTTGGCAGTCACCTCAACGAGATGGTCCCCGTGAAAAACCTTGGGGAGTTGAGGTGGTACTCCGCGTGCTTTTACCAGAGAGATCTAGAGAGAGGCCTTTTGAGGATCTCGCAGCAAAGGTTTGCAGAAGAGTTGGCTGCAGAGTACGGCGTTGAGTGGGGGAAGAGTGTGCCCTTGCCTGTGAGCGTGAAGCTCACCGACTTTGACGAAAACGAAGCGTGTGCTGATGTCCCGTTTCGCGAGTTGGTAGGATCTCTGATGTGGTTGGCCACTCAAACCAGGCCGGACATCGCGAATGCAGTACGAGCAGTAGCGCGGTATTGCGCGTCTCCCAAGATGGTGCACTGGAAGGCAGCACTTGGTATTTTAGGGTACGTGCGTAGGACGAGTTGGATGGGGATTACATTTGAGAGGGGAGTGGTCACTGGCATGAGCATGCAGGTGTTTGTGGATGCCGACTATGCAAGCAAGGCAGCAGACCGTAGGTCGGTCTCAGGAGGACTAGTGATGTGTGGGGGTGGGTGTGTGACTTGGTTTTCGAGGACGCAGAAGTGCGTCCACCTCTCCACAACGGAAGCAGAGTATATGGCAATTGCCGACGTCTTGAATGAAGTGCTTTTCTTGAGGCAGGTTTGGCGTTTTATGTTGCCAGATGCAGGTATGCCGTGCATTCCGGTCTTCGAGGATAATCAGGGAGCGATTCAGATTGCGCACAACCCGATCACGAACTCAAACTCGAAGCACATCGATGTACGGCATCACTTTATCAGGGAACTGGTAGAGAGGAAGGAGATTTCGATTACGCATGTGACGTCGGAGTTTCAGCATGCAGATTTCTTGACGAAGGCTATCAGCAAGGAATCTTTTGCGTTGCACAGAGACTTTGTGATGAATTTGCAGTGAAAGAAGTGTTTTCGGATCAAATCGTGTTTTTCCGCGGAGTGGAAGAGAGAGGATATGTACGGGTTTGAACAAGAGATGGAGAGAGTTAAGTGGAGATGGTGAGTGTTTTGGAGAGTTAGTGTTTGGGACTTTCCTTGGTGATTTGGAAGAGTCGGTATGCGATTGATTATTTTCGGACGTATTGTTTTGGTGTTGGGATTTTGAATTTTGTCTTGGTTTTGATTGTG